TTACTGAGGAAAAGAGCTGAAAATGTTGTAAATAATGTATAATTACAGTTTTATTATGCCTGTTTAGAAAATGGTCTTTGCAGAATAAGTCAGAGCTCTGATTATGAATATCTAATAATAAATGCAATCATTTATGTAAAGGGAATGTGCTAACCTCAGGTTGTTCAAAGATGCCCATGTGACCACCACAAGCAAAGCTAAGTGTACAGTTGGGAGAAATATTCAGCTAATTCAGGCAAAAGGGGGAAAGGGACAATTTTTGGTTTTTGTTTCTTATAGAGATCTACTATTTGGGTAAAAAAATATTTGCACATAAAGTGAATTCTTAATACCAACCAGTGCATATATTTTAATCTCCTTTAAGACTTAGTTGATTTTTTAATCTTCCTTTTAAATTATAGAAGACTTTAGATAAAAATTAGGTACCTTCATATGTGTATAGCTCTAGCACTAATCACCATTTATGACAGAAATTTAGCATTTGCCAAAACTAGTCATTGATCCTATGCAACTAGAACATTTTTGATTACTTTATTGCCACATTTCTGCTGAGGCAGAGTGTTCAGATGAAGCTCATTTCTGGGATTTGGTGAGGCTGCTGATGATAGAGGAGCAATTATCCCCTGTAGCAGATAGAAAAAAAAACTAAGAAGAGGGACAAGGTTCATATCATTGTTTCCAGAAAGAGTGTCATTTGTATCCAGGAGTGTTTGAAATTTTATGATGCAGTTTTTAAATATACAAAGAAATTTAATAGAAAATTACTATGTAGATTTACTGTATGTTATGTCTGTAATTTTCAGATGCACATTTTCCCACCTTTCAACATCTCTGAAACTGGGAGTTATTTAACAGTCTAATAATTATAATTGGATTGGCAGCACTCTTTTTCCTTAGTAGTGAATAAAATAATGATGCATTTTTTCAATTGATGGTGTCTTTTTTTTTTTAAGATTTTATTTATTTATTTGACACACACACAGAGATCACAAGTAGGCAGAGAGGCAGGCAGAGAGAGAAGGGAAGGAGGCTCCCCGCTGAGCAGAGAGCCAGATGCGGGGCTCCATCCCAGGACCCTGAGATCATGACCTGAGCCGAAGGCAGAGGCTTAATCCACTGAGCCACCCAGGCGCCCCTTGATGGTGTCTTTCATTCAATTAGATATAAATATGGGGCTGTATATATATGTGTGTGTGTATATATCGATATATACACACATATATACACACATGTATATATATGTATATACATATATATACATACTTCATTTTGAATAAAAAAATCTTAACTGAAAAAATTTACAAAAGAAGACACCTTGCTTTTAGGCTAACTAAAATGTTTCTATCAAGAAGAGACATATTACTCAATTGGGGTCATTCTATATATTCTTAATATCCAGAGATAGTTATTTGAGTTACAATTAATATAGGATGGGACATCTAATTTCATGATATACCTAAAAGTCATGAAAATATCAGATTCACAACATTAATTAGGTCCTTTTTAAAATCTCATAGACAGTTACGCTTGGCTTTAACATTCTGAAGGTTGAGCAAGAAGGAAATGGACTTGCATTTGACAGCCTGTATGGCATATTATTTCACAGCATGAAATTTGAGATCAGAAAGTAAGCGGAGCATAGGCTTTGCCATTTATGAGTCGTGGGACTTTGGACAAATTAATCTCTTAGTATTTTGGTTTCTCCATCTCTAATATATGGATAATAGTTCTAAAATTTTCCTTTTTTTTGAGATTAAAGTGAAATAATACATGCAAAGTTTTTGACATAAGGCCTTACCCATAACATGTTCGTAATAAATATGTGCCATTCAGCATTGTGTTAGTTTTTCTCTGTTATTGTATGTCCTGACCCTATTCCCCAGGATGTTTGATTCTGCCATTTGGACTTGGCCAATGAGAGGGTTGGGCAAGACTTTAGAGGGTGGGAGGAAAAGAAGCCAGGTATTTATTTCTTCTGCTCCCTTCTGGCTGGGCTTCAATTGTGGCTCTAGCTGCATTCCTCTTCCTATGTCCCAGCTCCCATCCAACAGCCCCTTTCCCATAGCTAGAGTTCACAGCCAAAGTAACACTACTTCCTCCTCAGGCCTAAGAGTGATAATGGCTTCTCTTCCCAGTGTTGCTTCATATGCTTTCTTCTCACTATTGTTTGTCCTTAGGTGCTCTAGCATCTTTTGTCAGTTCTTTAAATGCCTCTGTAAACAGTCCTTTATTAAACTTTCTTTAGTTAAATGCTTTATATGTGTCACTAGTTTTTTCCTGGGACTTTGACATACGTAAAATAATAATCTTTGTTGACAGATCATTTTATAATACGGTTAGAAGCTAATGCAAGACAGTTTTTAATCCAATGGGAAGTTTATTAGCATGTTGATTTGTTGTTGTGATATAAACCCAGGTTTGAAGTCTGGAGACAGTTCGTTTAGATGGCAGGGGATGTGAGAAAGAAGGGTGGAGTTCTTTTCTAGATATATAACAACAAGACCATAGCCACAGTGGCAAAACAAGCATGTAGATTATGTAGAAAATAAGGAAATGTGACTGGCTCTCATGCGAAGTTTCCATTTCAGGGTTTTGGTAGGCAGAAAAATGGTCTCCCAAAGATGTTCATGTCCTAATCCCTAGAATCTGTAAATATGTTAACTTATATGGCAGAAGGGACTTGGCCCATATGATTAAGTTAAGGCTCTTAAGACTAGGAGCTTATCCTGGTTTATCCAAATGGGTCCACTGTAATTAGAAGGATCCTTTTTTAGAAAGAGGCAAAGGGTCAGAGTTAGAGAAGGAACTGGATGATGAAGCAGAGTCAGAGGGAAGGATGTGAAAATGCTATCCTACTGGCTTTGAAGATGGAGGATGGAGCCACAAGCTAAGGTATGCAGGTGGCCTCTAGAAGCTGAAAAAGGCAAGGCAATGGATTCTCCCTGATACAGGCTTCAGAAGACACACAGCTCTGTCCACACCTTGATTTTAGCCCAGTGATACTTCTAACTTACATAACTGTCACATAATATATTTGTCTTGTTTTAATCCAATAAATCTATAGCAATTTGATACAACAGAAATAGGAAATGGATATAGGTATAGCGGGAGAGAGAGGGTGCTGGATTAGGGCAAACACTGAGAGGTCAGTAGAGAATTCTGGATTTCATCTGAAGAGAATAAAGAACCATGGAAGTGTTTTTGTTTGTTTTACTACAAAGACTAATATATAATGAAAATTAGTTATTAAGAAGATAAATTAGAAGTTGGGTACAGACTTGCAACAAGAAGAGCTCTCTGTGGTACTGTGCATGGACAGGTATGGTGATGAGACCACAGGTTAGGTGTAGATTCTATGAATTGAGGAGTTTCCAGGAAAGCTGACAATATGATAACTGACTGGAAAACCCGCAAAGGAGAGGAAAAAGTCAAATTTCAGATCCTTGTATTGTGAAATGGGCATAAATATAGCACATATGAGGAACCTATTGATTCTGATGCAATAAATTCTAAATTTTAGTATGATTGAATAATACACACACACATATACACACACAAAAGGGAATTAAATTTTATAAAGTTTCATTCTTGTCCTTTTTGGAGGATGTGCAAACTGCCTTTGATACTTTCTGCATAGTGACTGCTTATTTGGTAAAATGGAAAAGGTACAACTTGAATAGTTAGAAAACTTCAGATTTTGTACAACAACAAAATGCAAACGCCCTCCAAAAAGCTTGAGCAGAAGAGGCATCGTAGGTCAAATAAGTATAAAGGGCAGGGACAGCAGCTGGTAAATTAAACCATTCACTGGCTGTAAAGCTGTTCAGAAGTTACTACTGTTTGGATTACCGGACACTTCCTGAGTAGTGGAAAATGTCTGGATGAAAAGTCAATAGCTCATAATTAACTCTGTTAATACCACCTCGCTGTGAAAAAAATATTTTGCTTGCAAATAATCCATTTCTCAGGGATCCTCATAAAACTTAACAATGCTTGGGCATCTAAATCAGGATCACCCCTGTTTGTAATGGAAAAATGCTAAATTAACTAATACCAATAAGCATGCCAGCAGTAAAGACGCTGAATATTGAATACTGATGATATGCTAAACCCAATCATTAACCTAACCATTAATCACGTTACTTTCACACAAAGCTTCACCAATCTGCCTTTTTCTTTCACCATTACAGCTTTCCCCCCTCAGTATCTGGTAAAATCTGGCCGTGGGCTAATCATTTGGAAAATCTTAGAAAATGCTATGATTCAACCTTTTTCTAAATTGGATATAACTTTGTATTTCCAGTGGTTTTTTTTTTTTAAAGTCCCTCCTTACAAATGCCTTTTATACACAAGTAACAATACTGTATTTTGCATTTAAAAAATAATCTGCTCTGTGACTATCCCTTTCTCAATTTCAAAGTGTTCCTCCTCCTTATACAGAAACGTCATTTCAGGACAAGAAGCAATTTTGCCTTGCTTTCCTTTCTTTCCTCATTCTGTCGTAGAGAAGATCTTGAATACATGACAGCAAGAAAATGCAATAATGCCCACTCTTGAGTAACCTAAAGGTAGGAACTTTGCATATAAATCCGGCGCCCCCTAGTTACCTTCCTCCAAAAAATAAAAAAAGAGAGAGAAAGAGAAAGAAAGAAAGGTAGATAAGTAGGTAGGTGGGGTAATGCCTTTTAGCAAAGTCCTAAAATACAATGTAAACTGTCAAAACAACTTTAATTGTAAACTCACTTCTACCTTGTAAAGTTTCCAGCACTATATCTCCCTCCTTCTATTGAGGGGGAAGGTTTTGAAACACATCAAAACTAGTATCCGAAACAAAACGCAGACACTCCTTTCTGTCCTCGGACCTGCCCAGACTACCTGGAAGGTCCCAAAGTGAGGGGGCGCTGCCTCCGCCTCTCTGCGCCGAGCTCTCGGTATCTCCCGACCCACAAGCAGCCCAGAGCCCCGCACACAGACGCTCGGAGAAAAACAGGGTCGCTCACCGGTGAGGAGCCAGCAGCAGGCGACAGCGACCCCTGGGCTGGCTTGGCGTCGGGGGGCCATGACCCGGGAGCCCGCAGAGCCCGGAGGACGCGCTGGATCCGAGGGCAACACGCGGCAGGACGCAGCACGGAGCGGCGCGTTCTGGGCCACTCTGCCGCCTTAGGTCTCAGTCTCCGGCCCGGTCGGTCGCGGCGCCCAGAAGCCGAAGAGTGAATTTCCTGTGTTTTCGACGACTGCCTCTAGGTCCTCTCCACGCTTTTCATATCCCAGACTTACTGCCCCATCTCCCGCCCCTTCGCGCGCTCGTTCTCTGAAATCCTCCTGGCAGCCTCCCAGGCTGTGTCCGAGACATGGACAAATAAAGCCAGCTTCGCGGGCTCGTGTTTAGGCTAAAGTCCACGGGCTGCAAAGCAAACCTTAAAGGGACATCTGCCTTCCATTGAGAGGGCGATCGCGCTCCCTAAGGTGGCAGGAAGGCCGACGACGGCTGGACCTTCGGGAGGGTGTCGCCCGTCCAGTGGCCCCGCCTTCACACCCCTTCCCTCTCCCTCAGTCAGGGCAGGGAGGGCACTTTCAAGGGCCGGGACTCCTTGGCCCTTAAGGGGAGGCTGCTTTCCTGGGGTTAAATTGCGCAGACGGAATTAGATTGTCTCTGAAAGTGAGCACTTTGGTATCCCCACCTCCCTCTCCTGCGGACACTTGAACTTCGCGTGCTGTTGTCTGGCACTAAGAGTGAGTGAGTGAGTGAGTGTGGGTGTGTGTAGAGGGAGCGTCCATTCAGACACGCCCCTACAGAGGGTTTTGCTTTGGCTTATGGAGAGTTTGCTTCCCTTACGGTGACTTGTGGTTAAACGGTGGTTGCAGCTAAACTTTTCTTTGGGGAGACCCTAAGTGAGAGAAAAGGAGAAAAACCAGAATGGGAGAAAAGAAAAAAAGAAAAAAAAAGAAAGGGAGAAAAATAAATGCAAGAAGGAAGAGGGAGGTTAATGAAGGGAGGAAAACAGTCTTTAGAAATGGTAGTGTGTGGGCTATTTTGTTTAAGTTGAATTAGGATGTTTGTACACTGGGAATTGAATCTAATAAAGAACTCAGGGCACTGTTTTATTTCTTGTTACAGACTTTTTAAAGTAAGAGTGCATTAAATCATATTCATGTTACTCCTACCTCTTCCACTCCCACTCTCTAGGGAACTGAAAATTGGGAAGTTAAGTTGACAGGTCAAAATGTTGGCGATTGTTACCCCACCCCAAGAGACTCAGGCCAGAAAAGGCGCTTAACACTTTGCAATGCTTCCCTTCCTTGTTGAATGAGTTGTCCAACCTCCCTGAGTCAAGAGCCACATTCACATGTTAGCTTCACTTGCTGTTTTTGTTTAAAGCAGCTATGTCTTAATGGTTTTCAGAATTTCTAAGAAAGGGAAGGACTGGTTGAGTGGATTTGTGTTTACAGGTGGTGGAGGGAATAAAATGTATTCAATTCAGTACAATTCAAACAACAAGTAATCATCTCTAGCTAGCAGGACTAGGGCTAGGCAGGACAAGACTGCCACCCAAAGGAGGACTCTGCCTAGAACACAATACAGGTGACAGGATAGGTAACCCAAGAGAAGGGAAGGGAGAAGCCCACAGGGATGATTGAATAGATTGCCACCAAATAGAAGATTCCAGGAGCTAAGGCTGGAAAATACAAAAGGTAAAGAAATGTAATGAAGATCAAAAACAGGATGGGCAGCCCTGAGAGGTTCAAGGCCATCAAATCTCAGTAATGTGACCCATCAGAGCTAAGGAATTCCTCTTCTAATTTATGTATGAAATGATTAACAACCTAATAAATATATTTGAAACACTTTTCCCCCATTTCCAGCTTTCATATTTTCCTTTCTTAGTCCTATTTTCAAAATTGCACAAATAAATCTCTAGAAAAATTTCATGTTGGATCACAGTTCAAACCCATCTGACATTACTTAAACTCCTTTGCCTGCATTCAGTGGTCTCATATCCCAGTTTCTCTTTCCAACCCATCTTCATTAATCTGTATCATCGCCCTGCCTCCTGCTGTTCCTTTCCTGGGAAAGACTTGACAAGTAATCTGTACATCTCATCTCACCGTCTATAGTCTCAGTTATGTCTTATGCCTCTCAGTATGGCCCATGGGGCTTTGCAAAATAATCAAATACTGATTAACGGTTAGACATTAAAAAACCATGATAAATATTTCCTCTGAAATATCTCTTCAAATTGCTCAGTGTTTTCATAAACATAGAATAGTATGCATATATATGTAAACATATGTGTATATGTGTGTATATATATGTGTGTATATTTATGTGTGTATATGTATATATACATATGCATCTGTGGGGCTCTAGAAAGTTATAACATTATTGAATTAGAAAGAAATGAAAAGAGAAATTATAAAATTATACCTTATTGAAATAAAGTAGGGTTAAAACATACTCATGATGAAGGTTATAATTATTGGGAACTTGAGCTTTCTTTTTGGGGGTTCATAAATACTTCGAATTTAAATTTTGAAAATCTTCTCTAGGACTTGCAAACTAATGGTGATAACCAGCACTACGAGTGCTGTGGTTAAAGTTAGCTTTTATATGTGTTATGAATCTTATGGCAATATTTAATAATTTTCTTCATTTCACATCAATGCAAATACAGAGATTGAGAACACAGCTATTGCTGGAGAATTAAATTTAGAATCAGCGCTCATTTTCTGAACTTCAGTAAGTCTAAACATAAACCAATATCAGGCAAGATAGTCTCTTAACCAACTTTATCCTGGCAGGAAGATGTGTTATTGTGTAAACTGAGGCTTGGAAAGGTTAAAAACTAGGGTGACAAACTAGTCATTACATGGGTCACCTGACAGCAAATGTTAAGCTCTAGACTTTGTACGATGTACTCATCTATTTTTTAAATGAGATCTAATCTGATCAGATCTTTTTGACAGTTTGGAAATATGGGTGAAAATTAGAAGTACCTTGAGAGGTTAGGGACTGAACTGATGAAGTACTTAATCCATAAAATAAAGCAAAAGTACGCTGTGGTTTATAGGAATCTTTGAGTGTTTGACCTGTTTTGATAGTGTGGGAAGTCTAATCCTCTCAAGCCATTTGGAGCTTGCCACCCACGTGAACATCCAGGCCCAAGGTGATACCCAACCCTCCCCAGATTGGTCTAATGGATCTCCACCTTCCCTAGCCAGATAGGATGGGATTTGGGGATTACTGGTTAATATCTCAAAAATAAAAACATACATTTTATACTAAAGTATTCTCCTTAGAGGTAATCCAATATATCATGAGTATAATTACTGGAGTAAGTAGGTTCTTGAATTAAACTTCTTGTACTCATGCCCAGGAGCCACCACGTGTTAGCCGTGTAATCTAGGAAAAGTTATAAAGCTCTGTGAGGCTCAGTTTCCTCAAACATAAAATGGGGATAAAAATATTGCCTCTCTCTGAAGATTATTGTGAGGATTAAATGAGACAAACTTATGCAGCATTTAGCAAAATGTCTCGATTAAAGTAAATAGAAATGAATTATTCTTCTTCCCTGTTGCAGAAGAATTAAAATTAAACAGTGGGAATATAGGGCAGGGTCTGTGTGTTGTTGGGCATAGGAAGTGATGCCATTTGATAGGCATCAAAAGAGAATGTTAGTGTTTGGCCAAAACCATCTCTATCGACTCTTATTATTTCTGGAATCCTCACTTGGAATCCTTACTTTGTATTAGGGAATTATCTTGAAAATACCCCAGTAAAATTGGTATAAAATGGGACTCCTGGGTGGCTCAGTTGGTTAAGTGGCTGCCTTCGGCTCAGGTCATGATCCCAGCGTCCTGGGATTGAGTCCCACATCGGGCTCCTTGCTCAGCGGGGAGCCTGCTTCTCCCTCTGCCTCTGCCTGCCACTCTGTCTGCCTGTGCTCGCATGCTCTCTCTCTAACATATAAATAAATAAAATCTTTAAAAAAATAAAATGGGTATAAATTAAGACATCAGAACCCATTATGACATTAACAAGGACTTACTTTTCAAATTAGCTAGATGTAAAGGGGATTTTTTTTTTTTTAAACAAGAACAGAATATTTCACTAAGGGGCTGGGAATAGGAGAGGGTCTAGCGTTCTGCTACTGGTGAAGGCCACAGATCTTTGGTAGTTAGATCATGGGTTCTCAAAACTGCAGGATAAATAAGGTACTCCCACCTTTGTAGAAAGGTGGTATAGTTTTAGTCAATAATGAATACTTTTTAAAACTTTTTATGTTAAAACAACAGATATTTATAAGAAAAATGTAAAACGTTGTTTTAAAGAAAGTTAACTATGAGGCTTAAAATACATTTTAGTATAGCATCAAATTGTGCTTTCTTCCACCCTCCTCAACTCTGAGGTGTTAAGGGTAGGTGGTATTGTCTAGAGCTGCTTTTGTTAAGATTTCATAAAGATTCAGATTTTTCAATTTTACTCTGTATATACTCAGGGAATTGCTCTCCAAGACAGTGATGCTAACTCACAAAGCTAACTCATATGAGCAACTTAGTTTAGTTGAATAATTTTTGTATATTTATTTATTATTTTTATTTATTTATTTTAAAGATTTCATTTATTCTTTTGAGAGTGTGAATAGGAGGAGGAGTAGAGAGAGAGGGGGAGAACATCAAGCAGACTCCTGCTTAGCATGGAGCCTGACATGGGCCTCCATCTCATGACCCTGAGATCATGACCTGAGCCAAAATCAAGAATCGGAAGCTTAACCAGTTGAGCCACCCAGGCGCCAGAGTTGAATAATTTTTAAGTTCCTGCTGTGTACTGGACTCCAGGGCTATGTTCTGCAGAGGCAAAAATGGGTAGAACACTTGCTTTTCTACTGAAAATCTGCTGTCCATTAATTTTTTTCTCTTGGAATGAGGGAGAGAAAACAAGTAGTTTTGTTCTCAATTATAACATTGACATGTTTCATTTTAAGCCTGTTAAATTAAGCAGTCTAGTGGAATTACCATATTAATGTTGTTACTTCAACTTGAGAACCCATGATTGCTTCTTCTATGACCAAAACAAAGTCACAATAATGTGGAACTTAAACTTCACCACCAACCAAACTTTTTTTTTTGTTGTTATTGCGTAATGTTCTTGTGTGAATGTTTTTTCACTTAAAATATAAAATAGGTGTTCCTCCCACCCTATTTCCTGAACAAGTCTATGCCAGAAACTTGGTCCAAAGAAATTTGGGCAACTGGTACTTAGGAAAAAATTTGAATTTAGAATCCTGGTGAAGGACAGCTCTAAACACTGTAGGAAACTCCTAAAACTTATTAGTATACTTCAACATGAGTGACACACTAGTGCTGCACGGGAGGAGGGACTACCAGGGTGGTGCCCTGGCAAGAATATTTAAGTCACGGCACTCTTGACTCACAATAACCATCACTGATGAGCAGTAACATTTCAACTTCAATGCCAGATTCCTTAATTTGCAAAGTGAGTTAACTATTTTTTAAGTTATTAGGCAATGTTGGGATTATTTGAGCAGGTTGATTTAATTAATTTAATCATTTTCCTTTTACCAGTTTTTAAAGAGTTAAAGCAAGTAGGTGGGCTCTAAAATCTCAGGACTGAAACAAATTATTAGTTAGTAATTAAACCAAGAAGATTGATATTTCTTGTAATAGGACTAGGTCACTATAG